CCCCATTCCCTCCCACCAGCCCGATTCAATGGCCACTTAAGCGTCCAAGGTGCTCCACAAACAGCACCATTCCTGTACAATGTACACAGGAAATCGTTGTCAACAATGTACCAACGGCAACAACAGACATAACCAGTGACCCAGAAACAAAGGATGTCATTAGATCACTGAAGCCTAGCAAACCATCAGAAAAACCGTCAGTAGGCTACAAGAGAGGCTTTAGGAACACCAACTTAACAGTCATCTGCACGAATTTACCTGAGCCGACAACCCAAACACGGAGGTAAAGGCAAGAAGAAGAGCTTGGTCGCTGGAAAGGTTTATGCACTCTAATGGGAATTGATGTCCAACCTGTGAGCCTCACACGCCTTGTGCGCCAGCCAAATTCACCACACAGGAGAACCCAGGTTAGTACGAGTTACACTGAAGAGTGAAGTGGACGTTAAGAACGTTCTTCTTTCGAGTTACCTCCTGAGAAACAGTTCCAGTTTTTTTGATAGACCATGGGTGGAGCGCATGCAACACCGGAACAAGCCAGAGGGTGCATGGGAGGTAGAAAACAAAAGGGTTGTCCTGATTCGTGGAGTCCCACAACTAAATGATCCTGATGAGTGCGGATGCTACTACAACGACTATAAGGAGTGGTGTTTCATTAAAGACCTAATAAACTACCAAGATGTTTTTACCACATCAATCAGTCGTCTTACTTGTTCACTAAATTATCACGGTAACTGCCCGAAGTTAATGAAATTCACCCTCAGCACACCAGAAATGGCGACCACAGTACTTCAATCTTGGAAACTAAATAAGAAGAAAGGACCACCAGAACTGCGCCTGAGACCCTTGATGAAAACTGCAGTATCGGAATTTCCGCTGTGTGATAACGGTGCTAATGCGCAATCGATTCCGGCTTCATGGTCCCCTCCACAATTGGGGGTTCAGAGTACCAGGGTTCCCTCCCCAAAAAACCAATGTTAGCCAACCATGACAGGGTCGGCAATGAATCTACTTTTCACCTAAAGGGACTTCTACACCATCATCATCATCATCATCACCATCACGACGAGACTGCACCTTGACGTGGNCCAAAGGGACTTCTACACCAAAAACATCTGACTTGTTGCTACAGTAATGCCCAAGGTTTCCGCAGTAATTTCTCCGAACTGGTGTTCCGTTTCCAATCCAGTCAGTGAGATATCATTGTTGTTACAGAAGCTTGAATGACAGCTTACATTCCCGACCCTAAGTTGTGCTTACCGGGCATGTCTCTTCTCAGACGCAATCGTCCAACACGTGGGGGTGGTGTTCCACTTTACCATCGAAGGTATCTCCAGTGTGATGCAATTGCTCCTGCTGTTTCAACCCCTGGCACAATTTGGTGTAAACTGAAACTGTCGAAGCACAACGATTGTCTTGTTGGATTGGTCTATCGTTCTCCCTCATCAACGGAGTCAGCAAACGATACACTTTTGCGAGCTATGTCACAAGTCCTATCTACTCGCATCTCAGTCAAAGTTTGACCTCCCACCCATCGTTCCAAAGTCATTTTAAACAGTTAATCGACTGGCATCCGCTGTACAACCAGGTGAAGGAGCTCACGAGGTTTGGGAACTGGGGGACGTGGTAAAAATTGGATCTGGTATTAACCAACGAAGAGCTTATGGTCAAATCCATCCATGTCTCGCCCCACTTAGGACGCAGTGACCATGCAGAAAAGGATTTGGGTGTTATTGTCCACAAAGACCTGGGCTGTTTTATTGATTGTGCCTAGGCGTCATCAACAGCACTCAAAGCTGTCGGTCTACTTAAACGTGCTTTCTGCCTTTTTGAACCATCTTTATTTTCACGTCTGCTGTCAGCATGCATCCGGCCGCATATTGAGTATGCCATCCAAACCTGGAATCCATGCTTACAAC